ACCTATAAATATACTCAGTTTACATTCTACCTTAATTAGGTCACTTCGCTCTCTTTTGAATAAAGAGGGGACCTGTGAACTGCCGTTCACTGAGAGTTTGTATACTCTCGGAAGATAACTTCCTCTAGCGCAAGGTGCTGTGTGACCCCGTCACACTTGGTAGCACTCGTAGTCAATCCACGCCACCGCGGGTAGACTACCTGAACCTCTCCGAAGTTCGTTGCCATGGATAGGTGCGACTTCTCCCATATGAACGACTCTCAGTTCGAGTCGGTTTGGAAGATGGCAGGCATCTTCGGGATGGAGGCCCTGCAGAGCCTGGTGGTGTCAACATCGGCCGAGCAAATCAAGCGCGTCAATGCGTTCGACGCGTACGAGCAGGGCCTCATCGCGCATGTGCGGGAGAACCTACAGGCTCCGGCGGCGGAAGCAAAACGCCTCACCCGCAGCCAATACAGCTGAAGGTTAAGCAGTACGAAGGGAAGGAAGGCGAGAACGTTCACTTCTGGGTCCGAGAAGTAGAGCTCGCGATGGACGCGGCTCGGATCTCGACCGAGCAACTTCGTGTTGCTTTTGCACTCTCCAACCTTAGCGGCCGTGCTAAGCGTTGGGTGTACACACGGGAAGCAACATCCCCTGGATGTTTCACATCCTGGGCTCAGCTGTGTGAACAGCTCCGAGCCGCGTTCCTCCCGGCGAACTTCGAGTACCGCCAGCGTTCACGCTTCCTCTCGTGTAAACAAGGGAGGCGTGAACTGCACGAGAACGTGCAAGAGATACGGGAGTTCACGGCGTCCCTAGTGGTAAACCCACTCAACGAACACATCAAGATGGCTGTGTTCATGGACGGCCTTCGAGTGGGCCCCGCACGCACTCAGCTGTTCCGGGTGCAGTCAAGCACCCTTGAAGAGGCGTTCAAGTGGTTCTTCAAGAAGAGTACAACCATCGCCAGGCGTGTACGCCGGCCTCAGCGTGGCCTGGGGGTTCCTTGTCGGCCCCCGGTCGAGCAAGCCCCAACGGACCAGTTCCCATGGAACTCGGGTCCGCCGCATCTGTATGCCCGTGACAAACATGAGGACAAAAGTATCATTGTGAATTACTGTAGCACCAACGACATGTGGCTGATGCCCTTACGAAGCCATTAAGCCAAACACAGTTTGAAAAACTCAGATCTATGATGGGGATAAAAGAGTTGGGTTAATCATCAGCCTCAAATTTAGTTTTACGCCTCAAATAAGGTTAGGTCCCTCAAATAAAAGATTGACGGTCATTTGGTGTAAACACAAGTTCTTGTCAATTTAAGGGAATTATTAAGAAGTTTAGGAAAAGGTTTACAGTAAAGGAAGGCCTTAAGGAAAGGGTTCTGGTTACAGACTAGTTTTAAAGTTTAAACCTTAAGTTTAATGGTCACCTAGCCCTAAGTTTGAAAATTGAACAGGTCCAGGCTATTAGCCACTTGCTCTTGAGTACATTTTACTCAAACTTTCGGTTAATTTCACTCCTGACTCTCTCAGTTCCCGCCGCTGAAAGGCACAACTGGTCTAAGACTAGACACCCACGAGTAGCCGAATGATCGGACTTTCTACTTGCAGAGCTCACATCATGGGCTTGGCTGACCGTTTGAGGTGCCAAAAGGCCGGGACCTGAATGGCCGCTGTGGCTTAGGCCGGTCTGCTGTCGCCGAAGAAGGATACAAGCAGCTTGTGGATGCCCCCCCGAAGGGCTTTCGTCGGGACCCGCACCTGTGCAGTTCGGAAGAAAAAGAGAGAGTGAAGAGCTCAGTCCAATATCGGCAACAAACAATACAAAGAGTAAGTCTCTTTAGAATATAAGATAAAGTATTGGATCAGATTTTGGGCTCTGCGACAAGGCAAATCTGGGACCAAGGTGGTAACAAACCATCGCTCGAGAAGGATCTTGAGTGACAATGAGAAGACGTTAAGTGACGAAGAAATGATGGAGAACGTGAGCATCTTTAGTGGGAGTGTTGTGCCGCAATATCATTCAGTTTGTATGCAGAGAAATGAAGTAAAATGATAGGTCAATAATGGTGTAGCTCTCTGCTATTGGTTGCGATGGCAGCAACTCGTCCTAGCCATTCAAGAAGAAAGAGGCCGCGTGCCCCATCACTAAGATAGGTGAAGCCGAGGGATGTAATGGAGAGATGGCCGATGCCATCTCACTTCCAAAACTGACGGCCTAGATCAACAACTACCTACAGCTGTACGCAACAGTTGCCAGCCATGCAGAGCGCCACACCCAGCGCCTTGGGCCATGTGAAACGCTCCTTGAGGATCCATACGGCGAGGATCAGTGTGAACACGGAGGAGGTGGCACTGAGGATGGTGCTGCTAGTGACGCTGGTGAGATTGAGACTCTCATTGTACGTGAAGTTGGCGATGAACCAGAGTGGAGCAACGACGGCAGCGGCGACCACTGTACGACGGAGCGTTGCCTTGTTGTGCGCTGTCTGCTTCACTTCCGTGCCCGTCTCCGACTTGACCTGAGGTAAGCCAGACACGCTCAAGCCCGACAGACCGCGGCCTAACTGGGGGAGCCACACCTTGGTCACGTAGTAGATGGGGAGATTAACGGAGAAGAGCGCCATGCCGAATGAAGTGAGGAAGAATGGAGCCTCGAAGGACAAGTCGTTGAAGATGTACTGGATGAGATGATGGCCACACACACGAGGAAGACGCAGCCTACGACCCACTGCCACACTGAGCCACGCTTGGACGCTGATGTGGGATCGTAGTCTTCGGCATTGGCGGGACCCACCCCTGGTGTCGCAGGATTTGACACAGAGACGTGTGAGACTGACAAGCGCTGGCTCATGGGATGTGCCAAGCTGCCGGAGCTTTCGAGAATGCCTGGCGTCCAGCCTTCAGATTTTGGTTGACGTCGTCATGGCCTCGGGCCTCGGGGGCCCAAGTCGGGCCAAACGTTGAGCGCGTGCAGGGAGATGAGTGAACGAGAGAGGGCGGTGCCTCCAGATTTGCTAGTCGGACGCTGCTTGGGACGATTCGTTTGCATACATCCGGAGCACTACACCAACGACACGTAATGGAAAAACAAATACAGGTGGTAAAACTGTGATACAGCCAAGGTTGATGCAACGAATTAGTAAGGCTATAATATAAGACGGTATTGAGGCGGTACATCGCAGTCACAAGCGGCGTGACCATTGGTCCAAAAGATGGCCACTGCCCGATAATCAATCCCGTGACAAGCAGGTCCTCACGGCCACGTCAAGCCGCGCCCGAAGTTGCGCGATGGTTCTGCATGTTGTTTGTGCTTGCGTGAAAATACGGATGCTTAATCTTCGATTGCTGGGCACTGTACAGTGTACAGTACACTGAATTGTACCGTTACACTATCCCCCAGGTTACATGAAGAGTGACCCGTCACTCTTGTGGAGACTGGTACACGGTACCAGGGGCTCATGAAGTGACGTCTACTTTGTATGAGAGCTCAAACTAAGCTTACCTATAAATACATTAGTCTTACATCTACTCTTCTAAGTAGCAAACCGTTCTTTCTGAGGCCGGGAACGCGTGAGCTCGCGCTCACACGGGTAGTGAATACCCTTAAACACTTTCTCTGTGCAAGGTGCTCGTGTTCCCCGTCACACTTGGTAGAACTTGTAGCCAATCCTACACCTTCGAGGGTGGATATGATCTATCTGAATCCTATGTGGTCTCTGCATTCAAGTCACGATGGACCGAAGTGGGTTTCCTCATTTGAACGACGACTTGCAGGTACGAGTCCGTTCGAAAGATGGGAGGCATCTTGGGCCAAGATGTCCTCCCGGAGCTGGGCAGAGGGGGGGGGGGGCCGCCTGAAGCACAAACACTGGAATGGGCGCCAAACTCCCCATTAGACTAAAGTAGGTGGGAGAATTTCTTTTAGTTTATAACATAACGAAGGTAAAGGTGGGGACACCGGTAGGCGGGGGCCAACGGGTGTCCTCCCTAATGATTGGTTTGAAAGGGAAGAAGCGCAAGAGTCCACTTATTTGACCCAATCCCAAAATAATTAACGGGTTGTTTGAGGGGTTTCCCACCAAGGACCCAGGGGGAAGGCCGCCCCGTTGGGTCCCTAAAAGGGAATCCAAAGTGGAGAGTTTGGACACAAAACCCTAAAAAC